AGTTGTAGACAATCCCTGTATAATTATTGATATTTCTGTTATATAGTTTTGAAAATGTCTATCACTACATTATAGATGAACTTTAATTTACTAACCTTATATTCTATTCCCCCCCGAAAAAATCTTTTGAAAATTGCCTACATAGAACCAAGTCTAAATACTGATGCTGAAAGTGCCGTTATGTGTAGCAATGTATGTCTAGCTTCTTTTCTCTGAATTCCAGAGCGAGGTAAAAATGTGCCTCGGCAGAAGCCCTTAGGTTTAGTTGTTCTGGGTCAAGACTAATATCCAGGACTTTGGTAATCAGCGAGAACCTACACAGTCAGTACATGCATAGAGAGGACATCCAATGGACAGTGTTAAGTCATGATTCCGGAATCTTGATAGGGGTATCTGAAGAAACGAGTATATGCACAAATGGGCCAATTCTTTATGTTGTTGAGGCCCTGATAATGCTGGTTTTGTTGTGTGACTGTAAATCCCACTCATATCCTGTACTGTAGAATTCTATCTTGAAGCCCTTAGCACCAGGTCCTTGCATTGGATCATGGGGTAGAGTCAACAGGGCCAAGTGTCCACCCTACATCTGTACTGTAAGACCAGTAGATATCCTGTTTCTTACACAAACCAGGACCACCAACTCAGGCTATGCAGTCATTTGTTTTGACTCCCAGAGGACGATCCCGCCTATCAGGGGTGGAAGAGACCTGAGGATGACATCGAAATCCATGGGTTGTGCAAAGCAGTTGAAATGAGTTAAGCTCTCTCCCAGAACAAGCCGTCTCTGGAAACAATGGGTGGATGAGACAATGTCCTTCCCTTGGCAGAACCATTACAGCTTTCAGAGCCAGAGGACAGACAGACAGCCTATGTGTGTGTAACATATGCTTTACACAAACACATTTTGAAAAATATCACAAGTTCCCTTCATCACAGAACTTGCCCAGTGTCTGCCATTTCCTTAGCAATTAACTTCAGATCTACTGCCCAATCTACAAGGACTAATATGATAATCGAGTTACCCGCATCAGTAATACACTGTAAGAATGTTAATTAATAATTTTTCATCATCATCATCATCATCGATGTTTAAGCCATTCCAGCAAACACAAACATGTATACACACAATTATATAGTCTTTACAAACACACCAATATACACCCAATCTGGAAATTACACAACTTCATAGGAAAATAAAGACCAAATTTATCACAGGGATTTAATCTTGTTTATCTCAATGTATAAATTCTCTGACAATCTGTAACATCAGTTCACTATCTATAGATACTAAATGGTCTGGCAAAACTGTTCTGTCTTTCTCCATATGTTGCATATCTGTAATCAACCAAAGAGTTGGCCAAATGCAATATCAGGTTTGATTTGAAAAGTTAGCTAAATGTATTATCAATTTTACAAGAAATAGTAGTTTTATACTTAGAGAGTTACATGCCATTTCTTTAAAAATTTCAAGAGTTACAGGAAATGCGAATCTTCTTTACATACAACCAATGCAAAATGACAATGAAAATCATATACTGCGAGTAGATATCTGCTTTCACCTTTTAGTATAAACAAAACAAAATACAAAAATCAACATACTATACATTCACACTTCTAGCACCATATGCAATGAGAGACAACATATCAGTTAGTGTGAACCGCCTCCACAAATTCCACTGTGGGGGGGGGAGCAATATGTCGACTGGTGGTTGATAAAGTGCGACAACTTGTACAGAGCATACAAACTGGGATATGATAAAGAATAAATAACTTGATTTAAAAGAATGAATAAAATAATATGCTCATTTACATAGTATAGACTTTATGATTCTCTATCTCTGTTTGGTGGCATTTAAGGCAACATGGATGGGAAATCTATGAAAATCACCTGAGCTTTTCTGTAAAAATAAAACTGGATATCATTGTCACTCTAATTTTGAAGGCAGACAAAACCACATAAATATTGATGATCCTCTACATTAAAAAAAAGTAATAATAAATAAATACATAAAATCCTAGTTGACAATTTTGATTTGTGGATGGAATACAGTCCTGTTTAATTTTAATCTAATTTTTGACTTGCATGGAAATTTCAAAAACCTACATTCAGTATTCCAAGAAAAGCATCTAGGCATCTAGTTATTCATTAGACAGCTTTTGTTTTCCACTAACAAGGATTCGCCTACATGGTTATTACGAGGTAGTAGCTGTGATTACATTTATCATTCTTAAAGGAACATGAACAAGATCTGGTGCATCTTGAGGATACAAACATATGTTGCTTACAGCTTCCTACAACATGGAACTCTGTTTTAGTATTTCATAAGATTTAGGAAAAAAAATTAATGAGTGCTGAGGGAAATTATATATCTACATCTTTACAAAAAATTAAAAAATGAATACTTTAAATACAATTAAAAAATATATCCAACCCATATAATCTCACATTCCCACATCACAAATAAAGCAAGGTCACCGCTGTTGATGAAAGTAAACACTATTCTGACAACTAACAAAGTACAAAAGCTTTGCATAGAAAAGAATGAACAACCTTCCAAAGCCCATCTCTGAGCCCCAAGATATACAAGCACTTTTAGACAGAGAAAAATAGAGAGAATTAGTCTGCAGGTGAAAGTGAGGTAGTATATCATGAATAGAGTATTACAAATGCTACTACATATGATTTTGGAGAGAAAAGTGATGGAAATTTTTTAAAATAATATGCATAACATGGAAAAAAAAAATGCAATAAGATATATCTGAACAGGACTGAAGCCTTCTAGGAGATAACAGATGCCACTTATATTTGTAAATAAAGCTTCCGAGTTTAGAATCAAAGTACGAATGGAAAAAAAGAAGAAAAAAAAAACAACCCCTATAAGAAACTATGGAGGATTTATGCAGCTTTCATGAAAATGTGAAGATGAAATCTCATTGTTACATATTCTTTTGAGAAGGTACAGTACCAACACCACATTTAAAATGACTACAGACCATAAATGATTTGACACTGTCCAAACCTTTTAATTCTTAGGTCAGAAAATTAATAAAAGTAATATGTTCCTATATTTCCAATTACTGAAATACCAGTGAATCCAAAATCTATCATTTATATAATGAAAAAAGATAAAACACCTTTACAAAAAAAAAAGAAAAAAAAGTATTAAACTTTGACATAGGTACGAGAACAGAAAATCATATATATATCTATAAAAAAAAAATACATTCTTCAGCCTAAAATATCTATATCATCCTCTTCCTCCTCCTCTTCTATTTTTCTGGGTTTGTTGCACGGCTCAGTTGCAGATGCTGATAAAGTAACGACCTCCTCTCTCTCAAACAGCCCGCTTCTCCTCTCCTTCATCAGCTGACGGTATTCTTTTCTGGATCTGGTTCGTAGTTGCAACAGTTCAGTGGTATTGCACTTCTGCTGGAAAATGAAAAGAGGGGAGGTTAATAATCTTATTTTGGATGTATGATGTTTTGAGATGCATATGTATGTGTTGCATTGGGAGGTGAGGCTGCATGTATTACTAAGGGAACAAACCAGTCTGAGTGTTAAAGCATGCTTGTGTCCATATATTAAATAAATATAAATAAATATAAAATATAAATATAAATATTAATGAAGGGTTAATTATTTTACATTTTGGTATTGATGGTAAGCCTTTGGTAAAACATCCAGCATTAATATCTGTTTCACCTTAAAAACTAACCTGACAACTAATGAGGCCTGTCAAAGTCTTTGGACAGGTTTCATATTGTTGAAATGACACAGCTAAAATAGCACAGCTTCTATTACAAACCATAATAATACAAAAATGACACGGCTTTTACACTTATACACTCTATTGCAAATAAACACAAGAACATACTAGACTTTCTGGTAAATAGGATTTCCATTTTATTTTGCAATCCTGAACAAAAGACATTCTAAGTTAGGACTGATATCTAATACCCTCATACAGTCTACACAAGAACAGATGAAAAAGGAGAAAACCCATGCAAAAAATGAGAGAGGTAACCAGCTTACCCTTTCAGAGCTCTTGCTATGCTGCTTCGGTGGGGACAGTTTGACCTTAGAACCTTTGGTGAGTGACGACCAGCACTTGCCCGCCGGAGGTCTGGCCTGCGGGGTCTTCACGAGGGACTTCTTGGTGGACAGAGGCTTGCTCCCCAGGTCCCAGCCTTGCTTACGCCCCAGTGGCAATTTCGCCTTCTCTTTGGTGAAGTTGTGCCACTTTTCTTCCTTCAGTAGTTTTTTGTTTTTCTTGGCTGTTGATTTCTTTTTCTGCAAGTGAAACAGTGCATCTTGTAATAATTATGCTTTCTGGTTGATCAATCATCAGAGGCTACAAGATCATCCTTTTTTAGACAGCAATTTAACTACAAAATTGATGTAATAATATCAGAGAACACAACTTTCAAGAACACTTAAGAACTGCCACCACAAACTTCTGCCTCACCTTACTACTGCTCACTTCCAGGTTGGGGTCAGAATCTGCAGGACAGTCCAGCCCACGCAGAAACCGACGGAGAGTTTCGAGCTTCTTGTCATCTAAGTTGATGGTCCACTCCATGTCACCGTAGCTCAGCGGGGCAGATGGCAAAGAACCTGGCTCTAGCAGGACCATCAGGTCTAGTCTCTCTCTCACCCCCAAGCACTGAGATAGGACCATTTCTAAACCTTCTCCGACAGCCCTCTGCTCACTGTCACTCAACTCACTCCTGTTTTAAGATTAAATAATTGCAAAGGATTACTTTCATAGTATAACAGAAGAGAATTATACTAATGCATCAACTTATTTCAATTGTCAAAAAATATCAAAATAGGTGAGTCCTTACCACTTCACATTACTGTCTAGTATATTGACAACCTTCTTGCTCGGTGAAAAACTGTTCTCTTTGGTGTGTATCTTTGCCGGACGTGAAGCCTCTGAAGCTAGACTAATGGGCACGGAAGGGCTCACACCTGAAGCAGTCACCTGATGCAACTGCGGCGACAGGGGACTCCTCCGACTCTTCTTGCTCTTCCTGGGACTCGAACCCTCGCGACCCAGGGACTCCTTGCTCCTATGATCTTCCCTGGGTATTCTCCGGGCATTTGTCTGTGCTGCAGAATTTCCTCCTTTCTCTACCTTGGTAATCAAGGGCTCCTGCACTGCCTCAGCTCCAGGCGAGGCTAATCTCGGGCAGGAGGATCTAGACTCGGCAGCTGGCTTCAGGGGCGAAGAGGTGGACAGCGGAAGCGCGTTCGCCAGTGGCTCTTCTTCCAGCATGGTCATGGAATGATCGGGCGAACGAGGGATGGAGTAGGACGTGATGGTGGAGGAGGAGGACGAGATGTCTGATGCAAATGAAAGGTTGCTTGCGCTGTCCTGCAGGAAACTGAAATCATTGTCCTCAAAGGGCTGGTTATCAGCCAGGGAGAGCAAGTCAGCATCTTCTGAAAATACAGAAAATCATCAGAAATTATGCTGATTTTACCTTAATTTCCTTGGCTTTTACTTTTATATTTTTAGAATTGTGAAACAGAAGAATAGAGAAGTAGAAATAGAGGACTAGAAGGAGGAGGAAGAAGAAGAGGGTGAAGGAGGGACAGAAATAAATAGGTAAATAATAGTGAAATGCAGCTAATAAAGAAATTTATTAAAACTGAGAATAACTGGAAAAACAGGAAACATTTTATTATATAATTCATTTTTCAGCAAAATGTTATTCATAATATGAAAATAATTATTGTATGAATATATCACTGTATGCTGCACTCAACACAGAAAAATTCTTACTACATCACTACATGTGCAAAATATTAATGAAAATAAAGAAGAGAAACATCTCTGCCTGAAATTATTTTCAATTCTTTATCATTTGTAGGAGAATGTTGCATGTGAATCTGCACCACATACTAGTACATATGCAATTCCGAGCCTTCCCTCTGAGCAAACAAACCCCACTCACCCCCAAAGTAATCGCCCAAGTTGGCCTGGAAGAGGTTGGCGTCGAGGTGCTGGGCGTCATCCCACAGGAAGAGGTTGTCGTCTGCGAGGCCTCCGTACGGACTGAAAGAGGAGCTGCTGCTGCTGCTGCCGCTCCCCGACATCCCACTCTCAATGCCGGACGAGCTCTCCCAGCTGCAAGCGTTTCGTGGGGTTAGGGTTTTTAATTCACAGGACTTAGGGTTCGTGGGATTTTTGTAAAACTTAATAGGATTTAGGGTTTGTAGAATTTTCATGGGATTTCGTTGGATTTTTAGGGTTGGATTAAGAGGCTTGGGAATATCACATTCGTATTCATCTAAGTATATTAGTTATTGACGTAGTCTTCTTCCAGTGGAAACAGTGTATCTAATTGATGATATTTTAGTTGGAAATGATAAATATGACTATTATCCATTAATAATAGGCTTCTGCAACATACAGCATCAACACTCTTTCAATCACAGCATTCTACAAACAATATCTACAGCAAAATCCCATAAATCCTTTGGGCATGTTTCATAATGTCCCTATAACCCTACCTCTCATATGAAGTATTACAACACAAAACAAGGAACACCAATCACACAGTGCTGTCCCTTACCCTGTTTCAAACATGTCTGAGGTATTCATGGTCCCCAAGTGGAGCTCGGGCGACAGTGGAGGGTCAGACTCCACTCCCATGTCCATGAAGCTCAGGCGGGAAACCATCTGCAACAAAGATAATTTGGACTAAATAAATATTGTACATAATACACAGAGTAGTAAATAATAAGTAAACATGTTCATAATGAATTCAATATTTATAAGACAGTAATCTTTATTTTTATTTTTATTTAACTATATATATATATATATAGATATATATATAGATATATATATATATATATATATATATATATATATATATATATATATATATATATATATATATATATATATATATGTATATGTATATATGTTGTTAATCTTTACAATATGGATGCACTAAGGCAGGGCGAGTCAAAAATGATATCCTTGTAGAGGACATGAAGTTGTAGTCGTCATAGCTAGAAATAATAAGCAGACACGAACAGTAAAGCCACAAAAAAAGGAAACAGACACCAGATCACAGCCTAAGTCCAAGTCCACTCTGTGCTACTGAGTTTCAGCTCTCTTGCCATGCACACTGAGGTGAAAACAATGTTTGCCAGCGGGTGCTGGGAGGCAGGGCCCTCCATCAACCCTCCCCTTGGGCAGTCCCAAAGGGCATGCCCAGGCTCGGCAACTTAGATTGTTGATTTAATTTTGTGGAGTTGGAAACTAGGTCAGAGGAATGTCACTGTCACTTATGAAACAATAAATGCCATAACAAAACAACAATAATGCCAACAGCTATAAAAATTATAATAATAAAAATAATACAAGCAAAAACAATAAATGATAACAATGACAAATGTAACAGGAGGAAAACAATAGCAATAAGAATAATACATACAAAATAATAACAACAACAACAATAACAATTATAACAAATGATAATAATGACAATAATGCAAATAAAGTCAATAATGAAAATAAAGTCAATAATGAAAATAAAGTCAATAATGAAAAAGTCAATAATGAAAAAGTCAATAATGAAAATAAAGTCAATAATGAAAATAAAGTCAATAATGAAAATAAAGTCAATAATGAAAATAAAGTCAATAATGAAAATAAAGTCAATAATGAAAATAAAGTCAATAATGAAAATAAAGTCAATAATGAAAATAAAGTCAATAATGAAAATAAAGTCAATAATGAAAATAAAGTCAATAATGAAAATAAAGTCAATAATGAAAATAAAGTCAATAATGAAAATAAAGTCAATAATGAAAATAAAGTCAATAATGAAAATAAAGTCAATAATGAAAATAAAGTCAATAATGAAAATAAAGTCAATAATGAAAATAAAGTCAATAATGAAAATAAAGTCAATAATGAAAATAAAGTCAATAATGAAAATAAAGTCAATAATGAAAATAAAGTCAATAATGAAAATAAAGTCAATAATGAAAATAAAGTCAATAATGAAAATAAAGTCAATAATGAAAATAAAGTCAATAATGAAAATAAAGTCAATAATGAAAATAAAGTCAATAATGAAAATAAAGTCAATAATGAAAATAAAGTCAATAATGAAAATAAAGTCAATAATGAAAATAA